GAGATCCTGTCTGTGTACAGGTCTGCTGTTCTTCACATTGAACAGAAATTGTTGTCTGAAAGCATACCCATTTTGGCAACTGTGACTCAAGGCCTCAATAAGGTTTCTTTTTCTATAAAAAATGTTGTCTTTTTCATTGGAAAAATATTTTTGAGATTCTTTTACAGAAAAATTATACGTGATGTTTATTTTTATTTTTCTTTTTCAGTTCTTCGTTATTTTGCCACCTCTATATGACCTTATTGTAGAGATTGAGCGTGATGATATCCGCGGGGGACAACTTCTTAACCTTTTACATAAACGGTGCCATTGTGGGGTGCCTGAACTGCAGACCTGCATTCAGAGGTAAAGACTTTGCTTTTCCTTTTCATTTTAAAGGAGTTATGAAGGACTGTCTTGAATTGTTGTGGTTACTATGTGTTAATGTCTGTAAGATGCTGGCATATCAACGTGCTAAACCAGTTCTACTCTAATTGTTGTCTTGGTTTACCATTTTGTGGTGCAATGTAGGCTTCTTTGGCATGGGCATCAAGTCATGTATAACCAGCTTGCATCATGGATGGTCTATGGAATTCTTCAAGATCAACATGGAGAGTTTTTCATTAGAAGGTACTAAGTAAAGGCACACTTCTCCCCTCTTGATTTTAATTTATTAGTAACTCATTATTTTGAGTGAGTGGGTGCTGTGGGTTGGGGTGGCGATGGTGAATTTTGTACTGGAAAGGTCATATACTTCTAATTTCAGCAAATTGCAGTTCTCAGGATGCTTAACAACATTTTTGTTATAAACTTGCATGCCTTAGAGATCTTCTGAAAACAAGAAAACAATGGTGCAATTATTTATCATTTTAGTAGTTGTCAATTTTATAAGTATCTACTTGACTTACTGTTGCTTAGTTTGATCTATCATAAGTTCTTTCCTGTTTCTGTCTTCTAATGTGTAGCTTTTTATTCCTTTGGCCATATGCTTCTTTTCAGAATTTTTTCTATTGAGAAATGTAGGCTATTATAGTGTTTTGTATTCTGTACCTCCTTTATGATTAAGCAGCCAAGAGGTGATCGAATTATAAAATTGCTGAAAGAGAAGTTTGGGGCAGTGATAAATGTAGGCTTCAATAGATTTTAACTTTTATTCTTAGTATATCACTAATCTCAGGAGTAATGTAACTTCACGTCAGTTAATTATTATGAATATGCTTTGATTATTTTAGAAAAATATAACCATACTGATTTTCTCAGGCAGGAGGACAGGGATGTTGAGCATGGGTCATCTCACCCAGATATGTCTGAAAAGTTGGCACGCTTGTCAACTGATGATACATCCTTAACAGATTGGCATTTGGGCTTTCATATTTTCCTGGTATCTTGTAGTCACCACTTTTTATGTTTCTTCTTTTTGAAAATCGCTCCTTTGGTGCTTCATTAGCCATTCATAGCTGGACCATAAACTACCTGGAGTAGCTATCAAAAAGAAAACTTTTCTGCCAGTTCTTTTCATCACATCATTGTTGTCCTGGCTAGTCTCAAAGTTGGATAACACTAGTGGCCTCCATGAAAGCAGTTTTATGGAATGAGATCTGTAATTTATCTGATGCCATCAGTTAGAGAAACACGGGCATTTATGTAGCATGTTGTAGTAATAGTAGATAATTCCAATTGTCCTCTTGGTTAAGAAATTGGTTTTTGTAGCCAAGTAGCATTTCCCCAGGTTTGACTTGAGGAATCATTATTACTCTAGAACTTGAATGAGTTTTATTTTCAGATACCAATGCTTGTCAATAGACCAGTAATCTGGATGTCATAAGTTGTGCCTATGGAGCAGTAACAGTCATTGTGATACCGATGGTTATTACCATCGTATTATCAGTGAACAGGTCTCACTACTTTTTTTTTTTTACCTCTTGATCAGCCATATGTATCCCTACTTGCTAGTGCATTTTAATTTATGATCAGCGAAGCAATTCTGTTTTAAACTTCTACTAGTTGAATGGAAGAAACTGAAAGGGATTCTTAATGCTTCATGTTTCTAATTTTTCTAGTTTAGTTTTATTAATCAACTTTCTCCTTTTTCTTTTCCTGCTATTTTGCAGGATATGCTTCCTGAGTACATTCACATGCGCATTGCAGAATCAATTCTTTTTGCTGGTAAAGCAATCAGGGTCCTCCGGAATCCAATTCATGCCTTTAGGTTTCAGGATAATTTGTATCCTCAGCAGATGGTTAGGAGCTCTCAGAAAATTCAAGGACTTACAGTGCGGTTTCCCTTCCAGAAGGAAACCCCTTTGGACACAAAATTGGTTGGAGAAGAGTTACTTCCACAATCTGAGGCTGATAAGATCGAAAATATGCTCCAGGACCTGAAGGTCTGCAGTCTGTTTGGTTGTATAGAACATTTCATTGATGCCCTTTTATGATAGATGGCTGTAGTTGACAATAGCCATCTGGTATTTTTATTCACTGTTTTGCTAAAAATTTGCAGTTAAAATGTTGTCATGCTTGGTAGATAGATATTTGCATTTTTTGACAAGTCATTGCCATGACTATGGGGCTTAAACTTATTCATGGTTTCATTATGTATAGGAATCATCAGAATTTCACAAAAGATCATTTGAATGTGCTGTTGACTCTATCCGTGCTATTGCAGCCAGTCATCTTTGGCAGGTTCTGTATGTTAAAACTTTGTTCCTATTATTTTTTTGAGTGTTTGTTTATGTGTTTGCTATATTTCTGCAGCTTGTGGTTATTCGTGCTGATCTGAATGGCCACCTAAAGGCATTAAAAGACTATTTTCTGTTGGCAAAGGGAGACTTTTTCCAGGTAAATGACTGACAATATCTCTATTTTGGTTCATTCACGGCTTTCTATATATATATATATATAAGAAAGAAAGAAAGAAACTGCTTCTCATGAGTGCTGTTTTTCCTTTTTTTCTGATAAAGGCAGTGGCTACTTCAAAAAACCAAGGCCTTTTCTACAAAATTTGACATGTTATATTTCACTGTCTGATGGCTGAATTTGCTACTGATATAAATATTATCATTTTGATTATTTATCTGATCAAATCTGACAAAAAAAGAAAAGTCAGAGAAATATGTATATTCTCTCCTGATATTGGTCCTTTTATTCAATGTAGTATGGTATGGTAATAAGCTTACTTGTATTAAGTTTTTGGGATATTAGAACTTAATGTTTCTATATTAAATCTTCAACTGTAAATTCCAAACTGACCACATTTAACATAGTACTGCAAGCAATCTCCTTGAATCCATTTGAGTACATATGATTTATTCTTCCAGTGTTTTCTTGAGGAAAGCCGTCAGTTGATGCGCTTACCACCTCGCCAGTCAACTGCTGAAGCTGATCTTATGGTTCCATTTCAGCTGGTATGTAATTCATGAGATGTTTATTAAATAATGTCAATACTCATTGGTGGTTAAACATATTTAGTTTGCTAACATTTATTGGATAACTGTTCACTTTGTCTTTCATGACAGGCAGCATTAAAGACTATCAGTGAGGATGATAAATACTTTTTGAGGGTATCTTTGCGGTTAGAATCTAGTCATTTTGCTGCTAACCTTGCCAAGCTTAAAAGATATGAACAAAATTATTAATTATTTCCTTATCTACCAGAATGCCTTCATTAGGGACTGTTAAACCCTCTCAAGTAGATGTTCCAAAGGTGAAAGCTTATAGTGATGGAAGTTCAGCTGCTGTACCATCTAATGCTTCTTCAGAGTTGTCACTTGATGGCTGGGATGGCATTGCACTCGAATATTCTGTTGATTGGCCCTTACAGCTATTCTTTACTCAAGAGGTGCTCTCCAAGTAAGATTCTATGGCTCACGTTGCATATCAAACACCTTATTTCTTTCTAACATCATCTATCATCTGTCTCTTATGGCCATTAAAGTACTTGATAGTTCTAAGATTCAACATTTTGCCTTGCATGCATACTAAATGACAATTCTCCTCCAGGTATCTTAGGGTTTTTCAATATCTTTTGCGTCTCAAGCGAACCCAAATGGAATTGGAGAAATCCTGGGCTGCTGTTATGCATCAGGATCACACAGATTTTGCGCAACATCGCAATGAGCGAATAAAGTGTTCGACATCTCAGCAGAGACGGCAGCGTTTTAGACCAATGTGGCGCGTTAGAGAGCATATGGCATTTTTAATTAGAAATCTTCAATTTTATATACAGGTCCCTGACACTAAATTGCTATTTACTCCCTCTGTCCCAAAACAACTGTCATTATTTAATTTTGAGTTTGGTTTTTTCATTTTTTAAGGTAGACAAACATTTTTTTCCCACTTTAACCCTATCATTATCTATTCATTTTGATTAATTATCCTATCACAAAAAACCAACCTTTATCTGTTAGATGTTTCCTATAGATTTTTCCTAAGGGTGATATAGATAAATACATGAATTGTCCCCAAATCCTTAGTTTGAAGAAAAAGTCAAAAAATGACTGCTATTTTGGGACAGAAGGAGTACTATGTAATGTGCCTTGAATTATATTGATTTTCCCCAATCATTGATCAATTTTAGTCTTTCACAAGTGTTATCAATTACTTAAATCTCTTAATTATAAAAGTCTTACCTTTCTGTTTTAGGTTGACGTGATAGAATCTCAATGGAATGTTTTGCAATCTCATATTCAAGATTCTCAAGACTTTACTGAACTCGTGAACTTCCACCAGGAGTAAGTATGATGCACATCTTAGAATGGCATTGTCCTTCTGATCTGTCATGAGCTCCATCAGTTTCAAATTATCCATTGTTATTCTGCTCATCAATTCTCAAAACATTAATAATTTGCATGCATAAAATTATTAATGGGAGTTGGTTAATTGCATGCATGTTAATATTCTTAATGTGCAGAAGCTTACATGTTTGTTATATCTGGTCACAGGTACTTATCGGCTTTAATTTCACAGTCTTTCTTGGACATTGGCTCTGTATCGAGGATATTGGACAGCATAATGAAACTCTGTCTACAGTTCTGCTGGAATATTGAGAACCAAGAAAGCAGTCAAAATACAACTGAACTAGAACACATAACAGAGGTACTCATACCAAGCTGATTTTCTTCTATACACTAGCACTGATGCCAGTCTTCCTACCATAAGGAAAAGGAAGGAGTAATCATATTTTGAATTTGGTCTTTTTTATGTGAGTATCAGTTCCTACCATCATGTTTTTGACTTTCCAAACATTATTTTGAACTTATGATCAATTCCTTCTGTCTATTGAAGAGCATGTGGAGATGTAAGTGATAAATTTTTTTCTTCTTTTTTTCATCCTAGGAGAGATTTCATTTTTTCATTTTTCGTTTTGACTTTCGGCATGAAAAAAAATGCAAAGTTATCAATTCACAGGGATTGATGATTATTTTTTTTTCAAATTTCTTTACTGGTTTGCTCTGTATCAATTTAATCAGAAACTTCCTGAACTGGAGGACTAGATGATGTCAAAAGCAGAATGACAGCTGCAACTGTCTTATGATTTATTTGCACTTTGATTGGTTTGCCATCTATTTCTAATTTTCTATCATGTGATTAAACACTCTGATCGCCTTATTCAAGAAGAATATTGCTATGTATTTCAAGGATCTTTCATTTTGACCTTTCTCAGGAATTTAACAAGAAATCAAACTCCTTGTACACAATATTACGCAGCAGCAGGCTTGCTGGGAGTCAGCGAGCTCCATTTCTGAGACGTTTCCTCCTGCGCTTGAACTTCAATTCCTTCTTTGAGGTAACCTCTTGCCTATGCCATGGTCATGCACGTAGCCAAACCAACTATATTCTTACTCTGTTTTTCTTTATTCACAGGCCACTGCAAGAGGTGTACTGAATGTTGTGAGACCACGCCCTGCACTACCAGGTCTGAATCAGCAATAGCATTTAATTATGTGGAGAAGATATCTTATCTGAGTTCGCCATCTGTGTGCTTCTGGAGTCAGCTAGTTCCCTAGCCTAGCAGCCATCCCCGTTTTGACAGTGAGGATTGTTTAAGCTTTAAGGTGCATAGCTTGGTTAATACCTGTTGACTGTCCTAATCGGGTAGTTATTTAGTTAGCTCATAGCTGCCTCGAAGGCTACTGTCTGCTTGACCATCAAGTACCAGCCCCTTGTGAAAGTTGGACGGTCTCCTGGGTAGCTGCAGTCCATGCAGCATGTGTGGATTTTCTCTAGCGAGCATTTTTTTTTTTTTTAATGTAAATTGATTAGTTATAAAATTGTTACTGCCTGCATGCTCATGTGATCTTTAGTCAGCTATATATCAATATCACTCAAAATACTAAATGTTTTCTGCAATTTGATGAATTTGTAAAAAATTTAAGAATTCCTAAGGTCATTTTACCTTTTATAAGTATTCTCTAGTCCATAAACCTATCTTTTATTTGAAGCTGCAAAATGTGCATTTTTTGGCTATTTCTCTTTTTCCTTTTTT